AATGGTGAAACTTTAACAGCTGAGACTTAGGGGGAGGAAGTTAGGTCATTGGGGGTGTGCCTTCAGAGGGATGTGGGACCTTGCTCTCTTGCTTTTTCACTTTTCCATTTCTTGGCCACATTCTCTTGCTGTAGCATGTAGCCTTGCCACAGGCTCAAAAGCAATGAGATCAGCTAATCATGGACAGCAACCTGTAACACTATAAGCCAAATAAACCTTTTCCTTTTGTAAGTCAGCCATGTCAGGTATTTGTTCTAGTGATGGAAAGCTGACAAAGAAATGCAGATTTCTTTAATCATTAGAAAATGTGGAAACCATTTTTAGCTCATAGGCCTTATGAGAAACAGGCAGCAAGTGGGACTGGAACTATAGCTTGCAGGCACCTGTCTTAGACCACAATCACGAACCACTTACATGGTAAGGCTGTCATCAGTGTCAGAGAAACCAAAAGGATACCCAGAGTCATTTAGGATGTGTCACAGGCCTGTTACTATTTATGACTCTCTTCTCTGCCTGGTCAATGTCAAAACATGTTAAATGTTAAGATTAAGGTCTAAGCCGGGTTGGTGGTGCACGCTTGTAATCCCAGCACTTGAGAGGCTGAGGCAGGAGGATCACTGTGAGTTTGAGACCAGCCTGGGCTACATAGTGAGTTCCAGGTCAATCTCAACTACAGAGTGAGACCCTGTCTCAAAAAAAAAAAAAAAAAAAGAAAAAAACAACAAAAAAGAAGATTAAGGTCTACACTTGAGCCTCTTGCTGGAAAATGCAACTGAGTTTTCTGCCATTCAATCCTTATCAAAGCATCATAAATGGAAAGCACAACAGTAGCAATAGCAATAGTTACAGAGAATTTCTCAAAGAAAATAGGACCCACACATTCCCATAGATAATCTAACTTTCTCCCTTGAATATGTCAGAATGCTGGAGTCATGAAGGTTCTGCGGTCACCCTTTGTGGAATCTTTCCTGGCTCTGGGCCCTTGTATACACTGAGTAGCTGCATGAGACACCACAGATATGAGTCACTGACATTTTCTAGGGATGCGGTCTGGGATGGCATCCTCTCTGGGGATAAATTTCTTTTGTCATTTATCTCATTCAGTGTCAGGAAAAGCTGCAAATGTAATTTAACTGGTTTTATTTTAAAAACAATGTCATTTCCTTTTTTAAAAATTTGGTGTCAAGTTTATAGACAAATATATCTCTAGCGATTATAAAATGCCTTACCAATCCATTAGCGACAAATATTTATCAAGCACATAGTATATGCTGAGCACTTTTCATGCATTGCTTCTCATTTAATCTTCACACAGTCATGTGAAGTAGGTAAAATATTTTTCCTGCTGTAGCAGGCTCCTAATAGTCCCCAAAGAGATCTGTGTCCTGGTCCCAAGAATCTGTGATGCAACCTTACATGGCCAGAGGGACTTCCCGTACCTTCTTAAGAGTCTTGAGTTGGGGAAGATTACCTTACTCACATGCGTCCTTGTAGGAGGAAAGATTGGACATAGAACAAGAGGACAATGTGAAAACTGAAGCACAGTGCTATGCTGCTGGCTTTGAGGACAAAGGAAGAGGCCATGAACCTGGGAATGCAACTATTCAAGGCAGAAAAGATAAATAAATTGATTCTCCCTTAGGACTGTTGAGGAAGTGAGGCCCAACTAACAGCTTAACCACTCAAACAAACTGATCTCAAGCTTCAGACCCCTGGAGCTCTGAGAGGATAAATGTACATTAAGGCTCTGAGCAAAAACTTGTTATAGCCACAAGAGGAAACTAAGGACTCGCCTTACAAACAAGACTAACAGATCTAGAGAGTATTGATTGCCCAAGAGTTTGCTTGAGGCTGGCTGACTCTAAACCCTGAGCTCTTATTCATCATGTTTCCTCATCTGTTACATGGTCCTGAACTCCCTCTTTTTCATTCTCTTGACTCAATTCAAGCTACAGTAACAATTGCCATAGATAGACTCAGTGGCTTAAACAACAAACATGATTTCTCATAGTTCTGGAGGCTGGAAGTCTGAGATCGGGGTGCCATGGGTTGTGCTCTTGATGTGAGCACTCTGGGGCCCCTTTTGTAAGGGTGCTAATCCCATTCCTGCAGGCTTTATCCATGCGACCTACTGTAGGTGAGGATAGCAGGTCAATTTGGGGTGGACACAAACATAGTCTATAACACCTTCCCTTACCCTGTCCCTCACTTTGCTTCTCCATTTCTGGAATCCTCCTTTTATTTTTGTATACTCAAAATAGCTTATAAATAAATATATTGGTAAGCATCTGTGGCATGTTCCTGGGCTCTGTATTATCTTAAGATTTAGTGAGCTGAATGTGCCTGAATACTTTTTTCCACCTTGTGCTTTGATAAAGACCATGGATCCCTTCTGCAGCGCTGAAAGTTAGATGGGGCAGGACTTCTGCTTTTGCAAAAAATGTGCTCACTTCCTGGTTAGTATGGAGAGCCCAGAAACTATTAATGAAGTTCCTTCTTTCTCCTCAAGGACTTTTGCATTATTCTGAACAGTTTCTGCCCTAGGGTCTCCTTCTGCAGTGCCACACTGACATTACAAAATAAGAGAAGCCACAAAAGAAGCCCACGGCCTAGGAAGTAGTAGGTCCTTTATTTTGTCAGGTGGCCCTGCCTGGTCTGGGTGCATAGCAGGATTCTAGAAGCCCTGAGGATGAAGAGTGCCTGAATGCCAGGCTGGCAGTGTCACAGCAGGCAGCATCTGCACTATGAAATCAGTGTCTCCCTGAGAACCCAGGAGCCACAGGGGCTCATCTCTTCCAGGTGCAGCCATTTGGTCCTCACCAGATGGACTCTCGGGAGATAGGGCAGGGTCCACCCTGCAGAAGTTCCTAGGACCCTCTGCGCCTTTCTGCAGCTCCCCACACGTACCAAAGATTCTCCTGGATTTTAAGGCTGTTGAAATGCTGCTAGCATGGCCTCTCATGGTACTTTCTGGAAGTGTCACTTTTCCTGGCTACAAACTCTATTTCCAGCCACAAATAGCTTCTGTTCCAACATCCATGATCCAGTTGGCTAAGGGAAGGGTCTTTCTGACAGGCAGTGTCTCCAATGCTCAAGAGAGGCAAATCTCTGCCCACATTTCCACTTCATTTCCCAGCCCTTGTCATGCAGCTCTTGCTGAGTCCACTGAGTCTCTGTCCCCTGCCCTTTGTACTCGCTGCTCTCCTCACCTTGCCTGTCCTTCCTCTGCTCTGTGTGGCCTTGTGGCAAAGCTCTAGAGAGCAGGAACATTCGGAGCATGGGTTCTGGAGCCAGGCAGGCCTGGCATCAGTTTAATTCTACAAATATATGCTCAGTGCCTTTCTTCTCCAAACCCCTTGGGGTGTGGTTCCATCACCATTAGCTGTGCGGTCTGGAGAAAGTTACCAAACATCTCTAACCCTCAGTTTATACATCTGTAAAGCAAGCACAAGCATAGCAATGCCTGGCACACATGAGCAAGTGCTGTATGAGCATGGGACATCATCATCCCCATTTCTGTCATTCTTTAAGCTTCAACGTAACGATTTCTTCCCTGATAGATTTAGACACCAATCTCACGCTCATCTGACCGCTATATCCCTTGGTACACGTGCCTGGCTCCGTGACAGTCTGTATCAGTGTTTCATGCTCACCCTCCCACCACCCTCGGGAGAGGACTATGGCTCTTCCAGCTCTTATTTCTAGTGCCTGGAGCACGGCTCCTCCACAGAGTGGCTTCGCCTCCAGAGGGAAGCCCCAGCCCCAGTGCACGGGGGAATCTGTCCTTGGTCTTTCCCAATGTCCCCAGCCTTCAGGCTCTGCCGCCAGTGAGTGGAAAGGACACACCAGGCTCAGCTGGGGTCTGAGGATGAGTCTGGGTGACAGATTCATCACAACCAGTTTTTACACGAGGATGAATTGGAGAGACAAGAACTGACCAGCTGGGCACCTGAGGTCTTGTTACGGTCTCACACCTACCACATATGGGATGCCAGCCCTCTGTGCGTCCTGTCCCCATGGGACAAGCAAGAGTGACAAAATTAGCACTTCAACTACACACCCATTTCCTTTTCATTCTTTGGCTTGTTTTTAATGTTTTATGCACTTCAAGGTCCCTCCTTCTTACAGGAGTAGAACAAGCCCTGAAATGGCCCTGGAAGCCAGATTGGCCACCAGACCCCCTGGGCCAGTTCTTGTCTGGCAACCATTGAAGCCAGCTGTGAGCCCCAGGGTCTGGTCTTCATTACTCCCCAGCTTAGAGCGGGCCAGCCTGGGTGCTCAAATGACATTTTCTCTCCACCCGCTTCAAGTCCCCAGCATTTCACCCTCCAAACTGTCAGATTTCACAGTGCAGTGCCCAATCTACTTCTGAGGCCAGAGTCCTCTCATTTTGATCACCCACATGGTGTCCTACCTCCCAACAGGTCAGTCCCATTAGGCTTACAACCCCAACACATGCTTTCAAGGGGACACATTTCAATCACAGCCCTCACATCCATCATCTTTGGCGCTATCGAAAAGCCCTGTGCTGACGCCTCCTCTGGGCTGCTTGAAAATTAACGGGAGACATTGCTGCCCCAGGAGCTCTGGAAGTGGCTCAGAAGGATGGGAATCTTTGGACCAAGGTCACTTTTTCATCCAACTTACAAGCTAAACATCCTGGAAAGCTAGCCCAGGGGTACAGTTTTGGGGAAAAGGTCTGTTGGAGGCATCTTTTCCCAATTTTCCTCATTTAGGAGTTTCCTTGATCATTTTGGCTTTCTTCTGGGCATGGTGATATTATTTGTGAATGACTATATTTAGACTCCTTATGCTGCTGTGTCATGAGGCTCTCCTCCCTCTCCAGCTCTTCCTCCCCAGGGTGCCCCATGGTCCTCACAGGTGGACATGCTCACCCCTTATCCCCTTTCCCTTCTCTGTTTCTACACTAACCACTCAAGTAGCCCTGTCTGCTCGCCTTCCTTTCCCCACAAGCACAGGGGCCCTTGGGAAGCCCTTACCGCAGCTCTGGTAGAGCACTTCCAAGCCCTCGTTCCTGCAGGCTGTGTGTGTGGGCCACGCTGTGTCTGCGGCCGGGCCACCGCTGCCAGGAGAAATCAGGGTCCACACAAGGAGGGTGGTGGTGAACCTGGTCATAGTGAGGTTCTGTGTGTGACCAACTGAGAAACAGCAGGCACAATCTCAAGGCTCACAAGCCCTTCCTCTCCCCTCACGAAGGGGTGACGTGTCCAGTTTCACTTCTCAAATCATAGGCTCCTGGGCACCCACCGTGATGCCAAAGGCAGTGACTGGCTAGATTTGAATACAGTTCCCAGGACCCTCAGCATTTGGAGTCAGAGTAAGGCTGGTCTGGGTCTGGGGAAGATTGGCTTTTGACTCTTTTGTGGGGACAGGGCTAGTGAAGGACATATGAACGTGGGCCCCAGCTCCTCACAACAGACTCCTAGAACCCCTGCTCCTAGGAAAGATAAGTCACAGGCCCCCATGTGCTTTGTATCTGCAGCCTCAGGGCCCCGACAGCTCCTGCTATGCACTGTGAGCTGGGGGCCCAGCTGGGGCCAGTGGCAGCATCTGCCACTTGGAGGGCTTCAGAAGGACATTTGGATCCTGGAATGGGGCTTCTGCCTGTCCCCAGGCTTTGGCTTCACTGTTGGGTTGGGATTTCAGCAGTGGGCTGCAGAACGAGGTCTTGCTTTGGGAATAGCAGCTGTGGTCTCTGGAGACAGGGTGTGGGGAGGAGTCCTGAGAAGGAAGCCCTGAGCTATTTCTGGATTTGGCTTGGCGGAAGGAGGTGACAGGGTCAGAAGGCAAGGCCTCCCTGTTAGAGGCAGTTTAACTGCCTGGTTATTGGTGAGATCATTAATGGCACATCCCATTGTCTTTGTGAAGCTGAGATGCTTCTCTGTCTCCCTGGACCACTGCTGTCCTGGTTGGGGACAGCACAGTCTCCATCCCTCCCCACCCCAGCTCCACCTTTGTTTAAGACAACCAGAGACTGGCCTAGGCCATCGGAGTCTAGCAGTGGCAGAGAGTGCCACTTCTCCTGGCAGAACCGTGGTCCTCCTAGCTCACTAAGTCGATTGACTATTTCTGTTAATGGTGAACAGGAATTAAAATCACCTTAAAGACTTTTTTTTTTGTTAGTAGATCGAATTTAGTTACCAATGAGGTTAAACAAATACATTTAATTAATGGGTAGATAGCTCAGATTTCTTGGACAATATCAGGGAGTGGCAGTTTGGGGGAAAGGACAAGTCGACACTGATTTGTCTGAAGAGTACCAGTCTGCGTGTAAGCTCAGCCATGCTGGTCCGACAGTGGTTATCCTAGTGCGATCCAGGGAGGTGACCACATAGTCACGACCAGGGTTTTGTGAACACAGACTGTATGATGGCTTTCCCTGTCCTAGAGTTTCTGATCCAGTAGGTCAGGGCCAACCTGGGAACTCTATCTCTAAAGTGTTCCCAGGTGAGAAAGTTGGGGAAGTCACAGTTTGGAGATCTCTGCTATGAGTCACAGGATTTGGTTTTTGGAATGTATTATACAGGGTGCAGTGTGACATTTCAATTCATGGACATGATAAGTTAAGATCAGTTAAGGGTAATCAGTGTATCCATCACCGCCAACATCACTTTGTGGTAGAAAAATTCAAAATCCTCTTCTACTAGCTATTTTTGAAATTCACAGTTAACTGATATCACCCTAATTACTATCCTGCCCTATAAGACACTATGCATTGTTCCTTATATGTGACAGCACCTCTGTATCTATTAACCATGCTCTCTTTTCCTCCTCCCCTACTTCCAAGGTAACTACTGTTCTACTCCCTGCTTCTATAGGATCAACACTTTAGCTTTTGCACACAGGTGAGAACATGTAGTATGTGTTTTTCTGTGCCTGACTTATTTCTCTTAACATGTTGTCTAGTTCCATCCATGTTGCTGCAAATGAGAGAATTTCATTTTTTATAGCTGAATAATATTCCATTGAGATTGTATGATTTTAAAAAAAGATTAATAAAATGTTATTTTTGTATGATAGATGGCATTTTATATGATAATAGTATATCCATATAGGACAAAAGAATAAGCAGTTTTTTCCCGTAAGGATTGTTCCTTATTTGTTCTGTGTACTGAAAACCAGGATTTGACTAAAATAACTAGTTACAGCTCCTCTGTTTCAGAAATCAATCCATAAGGTTGTCATTGGATCTATTATGACTTGAATCTTAGGTCCAAATGTCTAGTTCCCAGCAGGCCCTTGAGCTAAAGGCTTGGTATCCAGCCTTTGTGCTAGTGGGAGGTGGGGCCTCTTGGGAGGCAGGGCCTCATGGGAGGATGTTAGGTCATTAGCAGTGTGCAGTGGAAGGAGGTGTTTAGACCCCTGGTCCTTCTCTCTTTTTTTTTGCTTCCTGGCTGCCACAAGGTGAGCAGATTTCCTCTGTCATGTCCTGTGCCATGATGTGTGGTCTTCACACAGGCTCCAAAGCTATGGAGCCAAGTGACTATGGACTGAAACTTTTGCAGCTATTGAGCCAAGAAGAATTTTTCCTTTTTAAGTTGTTTATCTCAATTATTTAGTCACAGTGACAGAAAGTTGACTAATGTAAAACTTTAACCAGAAGTCCTATAAAGACAGCAAAAACAACCTTTGAGAATTTCCTGTTCCCTATGGAATAAAATTATGATCAGTTTATGATTATTATTTTAAATATGAGTATGTATATGTAAATGGCAATCAGACATATTGGAAGGTTCAGATGTTGACCTCCAGTTCTTTAGCAAGTTGAGACTAAAAACTTGTGTCTTTGGTTTCCTCTGTATTACTCTTCTGCCCTTTTGACTGTCTGCTTCCTCTGTGTCTCACATTTCTCTTTTCATAGAGGTTAGATTGGGGATGGTGTCTCTCTGTTCCTTTAGGGTGTGACCACTAATCCTTACATATTGTCTTTACTGAACGAAGAGACATCTAGCACCTTAGTAGAGCATGCTCCAGGGTGTGTCTGGTTGGGTACGATATGTGATCCCCTCCTGCAGATCTCTGGTACTGGTCCCCTACTCTGCTCCCTGATGGTCATTAACTAAGTGGCTTTGCTCTGCCATACCCTCCCACCATGATGTTCTTGCCTTGGAGACAGGTGACTATGGACTGAATCTCCCCAAACTGTGAGCTAAATTAAACCTTTCCTCCTTTAAGTTGTGAGTATCAGGTGATGTACCCAGGAATAGGAACGCTAATATACAGGGTAAAAATGTTACTAAAATGGCTGTCACTGGGAGCACTCCTAAGGAGAAAACTCCTGTGCTTAAGAAAACACATAAAGTGTTTTGAGGAATCTCCACACTGATTTCCACAGTGGTTGCACCAGTCTGCAGTCCCACCAACAGCAAAGAAGCATTCCTTCCCCCCAACAGTCCCACTTGTGTTTGTTATTGGTTGATTTTTGATAACAGCCATTCTTTCTGGAGTGAGATGGAATCTCAGCAATGTTTTAATTGGTATATTTTAAATGTCCAGTGACATTGAACATTTTTTATATATTTATTTGCTGTTTCTACTTCATCTGAAAAGTGTCTATTCATTTCAGGTGCCTATTTTTGGATGGGGTCTTTGAATTTGGAAGGTTTGATTTTTTTCATTTCTTTATATATTAAAGATATTAGTGTTTTTTCTGAGGAATAATTGGCTGCACTTTCCCCCACTCAATGGGTTGTCTCTTTACTATGTTGGTGATTTCTTTTACTGTGCAAAAGCTTTTTAATAAGATAAGAAACCAGTTGTTGATAGTTTATAATATTTCCTGTGTGACTGGAGTTTTGTACATAAAGTATTTGCCTACATCTCGGTCTTCAAGAGTTCTGTCTGTTCTCTCTTCCAACAGATTTAGTGTTTCTATTTTAATATGTAGATCTTTGATTCATTTCGATGGTGAGAGTCATGGGTCTAGTTTTAGCATTTGGCTTGTGGAAAGCCAGTTTTTCCAGCACCATTTATTAAGGAGGCTATCTTTCTTCCAGGGAAGGCATTTAGCTCCTTTGTCACAGATAAAGTAGCTGAGTGTGTTTGGTGTTGTTTCTGCATCTTCTAATCTGTTCCAATGATCTTTGGATCTGTTTTCTGCCAGTACTGTGCTATTTTTATCACAGTAGTTTTGTAGTATAATTTCAAGTCAAGGATTGTGATGCCCCCTGACTTTTGATCTTGTTGGTATCTTCTGAAAGAATAAAAGAATCATACCACAGTGATATATGTATGTCCATGTTTATAGCAGCACAGTTTATAATAACTAAATCTTGGAAACAGTCCAAATGTCCACCAACTGATGAATGGATAAAGAAGATGTTGGTTTTTTTTTTTAATACAATAGAGTACTACTCAGTCATAAGGAAAAATAAACGAGAGATATTTCCAGATAAATGGATGCACTTTGAGATCATACTCTTAAGTGAAACAAATCAGACACACATGGATAAATACCACATTGTTTCTCCAGTGCGAGATACCAGAAATGTACATAAGGACCAAAATGTATACTAGATATTGTGAAATAGGAAGAAAATGTTCAATTGGAAAGGGGAACTAGGGAAGGGCGGGGGGAAGGAAGAGAAAAAGAAAAAAATGAGAAAAGAAAGAAAAAATGGAAGCAATACTTTTGCAAATAAGGAGGAGAGTTGGCGTTGAAGAGAGGTGAGGGGCATGGGAAAAAAAGAAGAAGCAAGATATATCAAGTACAGGTACAAATTTTCTGTGATGAATGTGATCATTATGCATATCTAAACTTAACTAATTAAAAAAACACAAAAAAGGAAACTTATGAAGAATGAAGTGGTAAGACTGAGGGCAGGAGTTTAACTACAAAAGAAAGATAGGACGAAGTGAGGAAATAAGATAAGAAAGAGAGGAGAGAAGGAAGGTGAGATGTTCCAGGCAAAGGCTGCTGCTGACTGGGGTAAGGCATCCTGTCCATGGGCGGGATGAGCCACAGGAGTCTTAAGGACAGATTCTGAAATGCTGGCTTGGAAGCATGCAGTGTGTCAGCCCTCTCCACTCCATGACTTCAACTGTTCTATGCTGCATGGGCACAAGTGTGTGAAAAGGGAAGCCGTGCATGTTTACCCAGTAGCCTGTGCAGCAGAAGTAAAGGCCATAGGAACATAAATCCTTTG